GCCTCCACCTCGCCTCCGACACCCTCACCCTTATATGAAGTCTCTTTTCGTCGAAACCCCCCGCCCAGCATTTCTCGCCCAAAAACGACCTACGCCCCCTCCATGCTCCCCACCTCGCCCCGACACCTCCACCCCTGGGAGTCTCTGTTCCTGGGGCACCCCACCCCAGCATTTCTAGCTCAAAAACGACCTGCGCCCCCCTCCACGCCCCCCACCTCGCCCCGACACCCCCACCCCTAGGAGTCTCTGTTCTTGCCCCCCCCCCCCCCACCCCACCCCACCAGACCTCCCAGGAGCCCACGAGAATGGCGACAATTGCGCGGTTCGAGGCCCCGCAAGTAAGCGCGAGGTCTCGGCAGATCCGCGTGGACCTTCACTCCGCTGGACCTCCCAGGAGCCCACCAGCGCGGTTCGCAACTCGCAGGGAGCCGCGAGGTCTTGGCAGATTTGTGTGGATCTCTACTTCGCTGGATCTCCCAGGAGCCCACGAAAATGGCGACAATTGCGCGAAACGCAGCCCCACAAGAAGCCGCGAGGTCTCGACGAGGGAGAGGACGACTAAACAGGAAAGAGAGGGGCTGAGGGGAGGGGAGGCGAGGAGGAGGGAGGCGGGAGGAAACAAGGAGATGGGGCAAACATTGCTCTGGTCACAACGAAAACTCAACCAAGGGAGGGTTTGGGAAAAACATGAAAATACCGGAATGGGGGGTCCGAGCGGTTCGGGGAACTGCCACAACCTACTGCGCAGTGGAATATATGATCCAGGGTCTGGGCCCCCCCCCTCACCCCCATGGGTATGTCATCGGCCCCCCCCCCCTTCCCCCCGATGGGTCCTTCCTCCCGGGCTGGGGGGACAGACATGACCCTCTAAGAGCCATGCCTCATTAGGGCAGGCACAGTAGCCTTGTTCCAGGAACTTTGACACCCACTTCCATCCTTAATTGTGGGGTTGTATGTTGCAACAAGAAGTGTCGATCACTTCTTCGAATCAATCAAGATCTAACTACTGTCTACGGCGAGCTGCGATTCCCACTCATTTGTCCTTCGCCGTGCACATGGAGTAATAGTCGTTTGTCTTTTCGCACTTGAGTCCCTTGCAGCACTTGGACCCCTTCTGAGCGCAGTCGCCGTAGTTGGCCTCGATGCATGCGGCGCCGCCGCCCTGCTCGCCTCCGCCCTCGCCCTCGTCGCCTCCGCCCTCGCTGTCGTCAACGACTGCTGTGGTGCCTGCTGCTGCAGTGGTGTCTGCTGCCTCGTCGGTGGCCGCGGCTTCGTCGTTGGCCGCGGCGGTGGTGGTGGCCGCGTCCTCGGCGGTGGCGCTGTCGTCGACCATTGCTTCGTCGGTGGCCGCGGCGGTGGTGGCCGCATCGTCGGCGGCGTCGCTGTCCTGCATGCTGCGCGTGAGCTCGACGAGCCGTTTGGAGTTGGTCACCTCGGCGGCGGAACGCGCGTGCGATTGGTAGGCGAAGTTGCTGCCGCAGGCCAGCAAGGCCACCATCACGAGGACGGACGCCGCCTTCCACTTGCGGGCGCTGGACGCCGTGCGCTCCTGGATGGCGCTCTCCTCGGCCATCAGGGCGCGTTGCTCCATGTCAGCGGGCATGCCGCCGAGCGTGGCTAGAAATGCGTGCCCGTCAGTTGATGGAGGTGCGGAAGCTGCAGCAGCTTGCTTACCTTTGAAGCACCTTGAACGACAATGGCTTGAGCCAAAATGGCTACGGGTGTGGGTGTGGTGTGTTGCTGTGTGGTGTGTGGTGTGGTGGTGTGGGTGTGGTGTTGGTGTGGTGTGTTGCTGTGGGTGTGTACGGGGTGGCGCCATGGTCCTCCTCCCCCCACCATGCCCCCCCTGTGGGTGCGGTGTGGGTGTGGCGTGTGGCTGTGATTGGCGTCATGTTGACAGCTCTGGTGCTCGACGTCGTCGCCGCCGCCGTTGGTGCCGTCGACGTCGTCGTCGTTGTCGTCGTCGTCGTTGTCGTCGTCGTCGCTGTCGGTGTCGTCGTCGTCGTCGTCGTCGTCGTCGTCGTCGTCGTCGTCGTCGTCGTCGTCGTCCCCCCCATCCCATCTCGGGGGAGTTTGGGGGGCTTGTGAAACCCTGGGACCCATCCCATCTGGGGGGGAGGGGGGGGGCTTGTGAACCCTGGACCCGGGATCATATATTGTATTATGCCCGCTGGCTTTGCCGCGTGACGGATGTGACGGACTCCCACCAACCATTCAGAGCGTGAATAGCTTAGCGATTCCATCTTCCATCGTCCCTCTTCCGCTTCGGGGAGAGGTAAATCACTGTTCCCCTTTGATACTTCCTCCCCCAGACGACTGGCAGCCAAACCAGGACCAATGAGGGCACCCCACCTCCGCCATCCCTGCAACAAAAACGATGCCAACTCTACTTTTGGGCAAAACCTTGGGTCATAACCGAGGAGGGGGCGAGCACTTTGTACTGCGTTCTTGATAAGGACAAGGGGGGGCGCGTATTGCCTGCTGCGCGCAGGGCCAACATCCTTGTCAGAAAAGCAAAGCAAACAAACAAAACAAAACAAAACAAAACAAAACAACAAGCAACAACCAAACAACACTGAAACACAACAAAACAAAACAAAACAAACCAAAACAAATCCTTGTCGGATGGCAGTTGCGCCTCGCCAGGCATCTTACGGGAAGCGTGGACGGACGGCGATCGAGCGACGACCATCGCACGCGCTCTCTTCGGGGGCGCGCAAACATGGATTAGCGATCCATGGATTTGGCGCGCGGTCGCCAAATCCATGGATCGGGGGAGGTGCCCTCCCCAAAATGCGAGAGGACACAAGACCCTTCCGAGGGCCACATTGCTACAGGAATGTAGGAAGCATGGGTCGCGAGACACAGGACACAAGGGTACCCTTGATTTGGCAGGGTCGACCAACTAATCCGGGCCGACTGTAGCGATCCATGATTTTGGCGCGCGGTCGCCAAATCCATGGATCGGGGGAGGTGCCCTCTCCAAAATGCGGCCGGCGCCGCCTCGCTCGGCGGCGGAATCGGGAGCGGGACCCGTCGCTGAGCCACGCCCCCTTGATCCATGTCTGCGATCGCCTGATCTTTCCTCGAAGGCGGCTCTGCATGGTCTGCTCCCCCCCGCGTCCGCTGCCGGACTGGCCCATCTGGCCGTGCGCGGGGGGGCTGTCGGCGGCGCAGTGGAGGAGGAGGAGGAGGAGGAGGAGGCGGAGGAGGAGGAGGAGGAAGAGCGAGCCCTACCTGAACGGGCGGGTGCGCTTGAATCACGCGGACTCTGTTGAATGTGAGCCACGCGGTCCCGCGGCGCCACTTGCGCCACCCGTGGCTGCCTGAGTTTGGCAGTCCGCCTGGATATACTTGATTTCGTCCCTTCTCATGAACCACAGCACCTGGTCCTGACCCATCGTGCCCCAAAACAGGCCAATATTCGCGAACGTCGTCTGCGGTTCCCAGGCCAGCTCCGCCTTGGCCGCTGCAAGCAACGAGGCCGTCTGCTCCTTCGGGTCCACGCCCACCATGAACACGGCCTCTGAGATATGGGCCTGCCCCGACACTATCTGGTCTTCCGTGAACGTCTCGCCACAGACGCTGACTCTCTTCCGCTCGCTCATGGTCATGCCAGTGGCCTGCCCCGCTACCTGGGCCAGGAGCAGCAAACCACAGGCATGGCCACGCATCGTGAAATGGCCGGAAAGGAAACGGTTGTGCCGCTGGAGACGAGACAGCTACGGAGCACTGCAGGAGGAGGAAGGAGAGGGGATGGCAGGACAAGCAGAAGGAGGAGGAGGAGGAGGAGGAGGAGGCCCCAGGGGCCACTGGGACAGAACACGAAGCACGCAGAACACGAAGCGTTGGCACCCACGCCCGGATCGGCGGCGGGGCCCGCTGCTGTACAGGATCGGCGCGGCCCGTCGCCAGATCGGGGGGCACCGGCGTGCCTTCCCCGATCCGTGGATGCGCCGCCCGCTCGCCAGATCGGGAGCACCAGTGTCGGGGGCGACGATGGGGGCGAATAGCCGAGGGGGGGCGTTACACGCATTCGCCCGGGAGCCTCACCGAAGGCATGTACCATCGGCGCCCACGGATACATGTATTGCCCCCCCCTGGGCTAGTCGCCCCTATCGTCGCCTCGGACAGTGGGACCATGGCCAGGAGGAGGCCCGCAGGTTCTCGGACGCCGGCGGCGGCCCTTGCTGGTCCCCGAGGTGGCCCCCCCCACAGGGCCGCAGGGAACTCCAGGGGCAAAAGTTGGCACCACATCCTGTACCTCATCCTCCTCCTCCTCCTCCTCCTCCTCCTCCTCCTCCTCCTCTTCCTCCTCCTCCTCCTCCTTCTCTCCTCCTCCGCCTCCTCCTCCGCCTCCGCCTCCTCCTCCTCCTCCTCGAAATGTTCAGCGTCTTCGGGAAAGGCTTAGAACAATTCTCAGAAGGCCGGGGGACTTCCGAGCCGTCTGAAAAGGCCCGCCCCTTCTCACTTCACCCTCGCTCGCTGCCGAAGAGAGGTGCTGATCATCAATCCTCCCTGACGCCCGAGCGAACGGCGAGGAACCACCGCCGCCCGCTGAGACCACTGCGGTGGAATCAGAAGATGTGGAGGTTGCATCCCCCTACCGACGGCTCGTCCCAAAAGGCCGCAGCAGAAGGCACAGGCGATGGTTCCGATCGGGCCCCGAGCACTGCGTGGAGTGCTGACTATCCTGTGGGCCCGTTTAACAACGACTGCACCTGCTGACACGTTCGCCGTTTTGGCAAAGCCCTCGTGGGATAACCTATCTCAGCTCAGCAGCTGGAGAGACTGGAGACTACACGTGACGATCAGCTCTTTGGGTGCGCTGTGAATCATTAGCAACAGCTTTCCTTCCTGTGGGCCGTTATGTATCTGTCAATTTTGGGCTGCATGTGGCTTCCTAGGCTTCGCCAGGGACGTACATGTGGGGTTTTCCTCACAATGTCAGTGGGCCTCGCCGGCCCGCGACGCGGTTCAGGAGGGAATGAGGGGGAGGGGGCAAGAGAGGGTCCCGCGAGGATGAGGAGGACCAGTGTCAACCCAAGACGCATCGACGATGTCGCCATAAACCATACCTCCAAGTTTCCTCTTCATTGGTCCTCGCACGATTCTGTCATTGCAGAAACTGCTCCTTTGGAGCGACCGTCTGATAATCCTCAATCGTGCCGCCAAAACGCCTGGGATTTCAACGCCGCGAATCAACGCCAATGCTGCGCCCCACCACTCCCGAATCGAACCGTAACAGCATCTCTATGGCTTCAACCATGCGAATCCTGGAACGTGCTGCGAGTTTCTCAAAACGAATGCGCGTGGCGCCACGACGAAAACCATATTATGACAAGAGCCACCCTCCGTCCGTGAAGCTGTCGGGAACTGTCGAGACAAATGTGCGCGGCGCTGAGGCGAGAACACCAGTTTGAGAACGGCCCGCCCTCCATCCGTGAAAATATTGCACAATCTCCTAAGACGACTCTGCTCGGCGCGGAGGCGATATCCACTTCTTGTAGAAAACGGCCCGCCCTCAACCTCTCAAGCTGTGGCAAATGTCTAAACTCCAAGATCCTGAATGGTGGGGAAACCTCGGGCGAAACACCCGTTCCGCACTGCTGTCGCGTCTCGGAATGCGACAAAGGGGCGACGCATTTGATAGTTGCAAAAGGAAGCAGTACGGAGGAGGAGGAGAAAGAGGAAAAGGAGAGGGTAAGGAGAGGGGAGGAGGTGAGAGGGATGAACGAGCAAGACAGCCAGTCAGGATATACCCACCCCCTGTGGGATGGCGCTTGCACAGGGCACTTGGCCGCAGGACACTCTACAGAGACGAGTGCTCCTTGAGGGCCACGCACAGAAAGGTGAGAGAAGAGAGAGAAGAGGGTAACTGCGGGTGTCGCCACTGGCTTGGCCTGAGACATCTTCCACAGAGGAAGGAGGAGCAGGAAACTTGTGCATCCCCTCCCGCCGCTGACAGAGCATGGCCTCGACGTGGCCTCCGCGTGGGACAAGGAAGGAGGGAGGCAATTGAGAATTCGTCCTAATGGTGAAATCAGACACCACGCAAAAACACCACGCAATTACACCACGCAAAAACACCACGCGTACGCTGGAGGGTGAATTAGACATCACGCAAATACACCACGCAAAAACACCACGCAAAAACACCACGTAGCGGTTTTGCGTGGTGTTTTTGCGTGGTGTGTTTGCGTGGTGTTTTTGTGCGCCGCTGGGGCGGCGCGGGGACGCAGTGGGGCAGGTCGCGGTTCACGTGGTGTGTTTTTGCGTGGTGTTTTTGCGTGGTGTATTTGCGTAGTGTATTTGTGCGCCGCTGGGGCGGCGCGGGGACGCAGTGGGGCAGGTCGCGGTTCACGCGGCGTGTTTTTTTGTTCTGCGTGGTGTTTTTGCGTGGTGTATTTGCGTGGTGTTTTTGTGCGCCGCTGGGGCGGCGCGGGGACGCAGTGGGGAAGGTCGCGGTTCACGTGGTGCTTTTGCGTGGTGTTTTTGCGTGGTGTTTTTTTGCACCGCTGTGGCGGCGCCGGAGCGCCGTGGGACAGGTCGCGGTTCACGTGGTGTGTTTTTGCGTGGTGTTTTTGCGTGGTGTATTTGCGTAGTGTATTTGTGCGCCGCTGGGGCGGCGCGGGGACGCAGTGGGGCAGGTCGCGGTTCACGCGGCGTGTTTTTCTGCGTGGTGTTTTTGCGTGGTGTTTTTGCGTGGTGTATTTGCGTGGTGTTTTTGTGCACCGCTGTGGCGGCGCGGGGACGCAGTGGGGCAGGTCGCGGTTCACGTTGTGCTTTTTTTTTGTTGCTATGCGTGGAGCGGCGCCAGGGCGCCCAGGGGCGCAGCTGGAGCGCCGCTGCAGTGCCGCTGCAACGCCCCTGGAGCGCAGTGGGGCAGGTCGCGGTTTACGTGGTGTTTTATACGCGTCCTCCATGTCCTCCTCCTCACACATTTCCTCCTCCTCCTTCTCCTCCTCCTCCTCCTCCTCCTCCTCCTCCTCCTCCTCCTCCTCCTTCTCCTTTCAAAGATAGCGGCTGCACCCCTTCTTTGCTCCTGCGCTGTGTTTGCGTGCGCCGCTAGGTCTCGGTTTACGTTGTGTGTGTTTTGCGTGGTGTTTGCGTGCGCAGCTGGAGCGGCGCGGGGGCGCAGTGGGGCAGGTCTCGGTTTACGTCGTGTTCTTGTGTTGTGTTTGCGTGCGCCGCTGGAGCGGCGCGGGAGCGCCGTGGGGCAAGTCGCGGTTTACGTGGTGTCTTTGCGTGGTGTTTGCGTGCGCCGCTGGAGCGGCGCCGGAGCGCCGTGGGGCAGGTCGCGGTTTACGCGGTGTTTTTGCGTGGTGTTTTTGCGTGGTGTTCGCGTGCGCCGCTGGAGCAGCGCCGGAGCGCCGTGGGGCGGGTCGCGGTTTACGTGGTGTCTTTGCGTGGTGTTTGCGTGCGCCACTGGAGAGGCGCAGGGGCGCAGTGGGGCAGGTCGCGGTTTACGTTGTGTTTTTGCGTTGTGTTTTTGCGTTGTTTGCGTGCGCCACTGGAGCGGCGCAGGGGCGCCGTGGGGCAGGTCGCGGTTTACGTGGTGTCTTTGCGTGGTGTTTGCGTGCGCCGCTGGAGCGGCGCCGGAGCGCCGTCGGGCAGGTCGCGGTTTGCGTGGTGTTTTTTTTGTTTCCGCGTGGTGTTTTTGCGTGGCGTTTGCGTGCGCCACTGGAGCGGCGCAGGGGCGCCGTGGGGCAGTCCGCGGTTCACGTTGTGTTTTTTTTGCGTTGTGTTTGCGTGCGCCGCTGGAGCGGCGCGGGGGCGCAGTGGGGCAGGTCGTGGTTTACGTGGTGTTTTTGCGTGGTGTTTTTGCGTGGTGTTTGCGTGCGCCGCTGGAGCGGCGCAGGGGCGCAGTGGGGCGGGTCGCGGTTTACGTTGTGTTTTTGCGTGGTGTTTTTGCGTGGTGTTTGCGTGCGCCGCTGGAGCGGCGCAGGAGCGCAGCTGGAGCGCCGCTGCAGCCCGCTGCAGCGCCGCTGCAGCACCCCAGGAGCGCAGTGGGGCAGGTCGCGGTTTACGTGGTGTTTTTGCGTGGTGTTTTTGCGTGGTGTTTTTGCGTTGTGTTTGCGTGCACCGCTGGAGCGGCGCCGGAACGCCGTGGGGCGGGTCGCGGTTTACGTGGTGTTTTTGCGTGGTGTTTGCGTGCGCCGCTGGAGCGGCGCCAGAGCGCCGTGGGGCGGGTCGCGGTTTACGTGGTGTTTTTGCGTGGTGTCTGCGTGCGCCGCTGGAGCGGCGCCGGAGCGCCGTGGGGCGGTTCGCGGTTTACGTGGTGTTTTCGCGTGGTGTTTGCGTGCGCCGCTGGAGCGGCGCGTCTTTGCGTGGTGTTTTTGCGTGGTGTTTGCGTGCGCCGCTGGAGCGGGGAGTCTTGGCGTGGTGTTTTTGCGTGGTGTTTGCGTGCGCCGCTGGAGCGGGGGGTCTTTGCGTGGTGTTTTGGCGTGGTGTTTGCGTGCGCCGCTGGAGCGGCGCCGGAGCGCCGTGGGGTGGGTCGCGGTTTACGTGGTGTTTTTGCGTGGTGTTTGCATGCGCCGCTGGAGCGGCGGTTTACGTGGTGTTTTTGCGTGGTGTGTTTGCGTGGTGTGTTTACGTGGTGTATCTTATTTCACCATTAAGGTATTTCATTTCACCATTAAGGTATTTTATTTCACCATTAAGGTATTCTATT